CTAACTGAAATTATGCATTTTAAATTCGAATATAATTCGAATTTTGATAATATTCAAGTACAAATTTCGAATTTAGTTTTTCAGCCATTTTGACAGCCCTAATTTGATCTCATGCTGTTCACAATGATCTCCGATAGTAACAACACAACTGTTAAATGTAACTTTAGTATTTTACATTATGTAAATTGTCTGAAATTTTACATTTTGATGAAGCATATTAACTTGAGCTGAAAGATGGGGGTTTCATGAGCCTTTACTATTAAACATCAATGATGGTTAGCGGCTGATCTTAGTGTTCAAATATATCAGTAATCGCTACTGGCCTCAAATTTGCTGATCGGTGAAGCAACACTAATAAAGACACAGACACACACACACACACACACACACACGTTTGGCTTTTTTGGGAGGACGGACACAAACCTCTCTCTTGAACTCCTTCACTATATGTCTGAGGAGATGCTGGTCGAAATCTTCTCCGCCCAAGAACGTGTCTCCATTGGTGGATTTCACCTCGAAAACTCCCTTCTGGATCTCCAGGACAGAGATATCGAACGTCCCACCACCGAGATCATACACAGCGATTCTGGGAAGACCACAGTGAAGTCAAAGCACACAGGAAGTAGATTCATGACAAACAATATTCAATAAGACTTCAGTATACAGACTTTTCAGTTGATTTCATTGCATTTTTTTTTTACTAAATGCACACCATTTGACAGATCAGTCATGACCAACTAGAACGTTTTAAAGACACAGGGCTCCTAAATGGCTGCATTCTGCAAACTTTTTTCCAGTGTGTGACTAAATTTTGTTAGAGGCTGCACTGCTTCCGCTACAAATTTGTCCAACTGATTTGGATTTATGAATTCACTGTAATAACACTAATGGCAACTATGGTAGTGTCATAAATGTGGGACTCAAACCACTCAGAATAAATTTTACCCTATTAAAAAAAATGACGTTGTTACAGTTTTTCCCTATGTTTTTGTTAATGTAAATAATTGTATATCCACATCCCAACTCAAGCTACTGTCCAAACATCTTTTAATATTTATCTTATATCTTATGTTCTAACATAAACATCATGTCAATACATCCAACAGTAAGCATTTCTGGGTGAATTGGTTTAATGGTCACTGACACAGCAGGCTGCAGTTATCAGTCCTGAACATGACAAAGTGATATCGAGCAATAAAGAATAAAGATATGACAAAATAATGTAGAATGAGTATTAGGGCTGGGTTTTGACACAAATTTCACAATTCGATTCGATTATCCTTCACAAGCTTGTGATTCGATTCAATATGGATTATTTTGTGTATATATATA